GGGGGGGACCAGGAGAATGCGCCTCCTATACATTTAATAGTGACCATGGAAAAGCTTACGGAAGGAGACAAGAAAAAAGCAAGCACTGAATCCCTGATACACTAAAACACGAAAAAAGCAAACAGAACTGATGCCCTGGAAAACAGTTTAGCAGTTTCTTAAAATTTAAACACAAACATACCATGGGACCCAGCAATTTCACTCCTGGGAACCCACCTAAGAGAAATGAAAACGTATGTCCACACCAAGACATGTACATGAATAATGCCCACAGGGACATCATTCATAACAGCCCCAAACTGGGAACTCAAATGTCCCTTCCCTGATGAACAAACAGTTAGACAAAATGTGGTATGGATCCACACAAAGGAACACCTGTCAGCCATCAAAGAACGCACTGCTGATACATGCTACAACACGGATGAGCCTGGAAAACATGCTACGTGAAAGTAGCCAGATTCAAAAGGCCACACAGTCTACGAGTCCATTTACATGTACAAAGGTAGAGGGTTGGGAAGCAGGCCAGTGGTTGCCTAGGGCTGGGCGTGGGAGCGGAATTGATGTAAGTGGACACAGGGATCTCTGTAGGGTGATGAAAATGTCCTAACACCGGATTATGGTGATGGTTGCAAAACTCCATAAATTTACTCAAATCTCTGAACTGTATACTTTCAGTGGGTGAATTTCAAGGCATGCATGTTATACCTCAATAAAAGTGTTATAAAAACAGAATTGAAAAGCTCTAGTGCCAAGCCATTCTGTGCACGGCTGTATGATGCATGGGGGGAAAGGAAGGTGGTAGCCCTTAGCAAAACACAGGTGTTGCTGCAATAAAATATCCAATGTGACTTACCGTATCAATCACATCCAGTTCTAAAGTCTAACCGCAGTCAGCTTTTACCAAGCATCACAATCCTAAGAGGACAGTACGAATATTATCCCCATTTTACAGATGAGAAAACAGAATCTGAAAGGGAAAGCAGCTCACGCGAGGACCCACAGCTACTAAGTGGCAGAGCTGGGACTGGGACCTGGGCCTGCCTGATTCCGGAATCTGTGTTCTTTGCCACTGCTCCCTACCTCCTCCCCCTACCGCCTTCCCCACTGACTCCCTGGCCCCCAGCAGGAATGCACAGCACTGCTCAGGCAAGCAGAGCAAGGACGCTAAGCTGTCTTAATTTGCTGGATAGGTCTCCAGCACCAATGCTCCCTGGAGCCCCCGTAACCACTAATCAAGAAAGGCCTTGACGTATGTAAGCAGCACATTTTGGTGAAGGCACTAGCGTCACTTTCTGCCTGGAACACGTAGTTCCCAAAGCCTGTCTGAGTGTCCCAGGGTTTAGCAAAGACGAGCCAACACTCAGGGGTAGAGACAACCTTAGGTTCAGCCACAGGCCTGCCCAGATGAACTGCTCACTCAAGCTTTGCATCGGAGCTGCAGGTTTCCAGGGCGCACTCCACGCCGGGCCCTACAATGCCACCCTGTCCTCCCGGCACACCGGCCTGGCAGGGAGCTGGCAGCAGCCTCCTCACCCCTAGTCCGTGGCAGACAGAGCTCATTGTTTCTTTCTCTTCTCTCTCTCTCTCTCTCTCTCTCTCTCTCTCTCTCTCTCTCTCTCTCTCTCTCTCTCTCACAGCATTACCTGTTCGCTTCTGCCAGGCCAAGGCACGAAGAGGCTGTGCAGCCGTTTCAATAGCATTTTCTGCAGGCTGCCTGGCAAGCCCACAGAGGCCTAAGAGTGTGCGTGTCTCTGAAGGGAGTGGACCCTGCACGTGCAAAGTCTTTACTGTGATAAGCCCAGGCCTTGGGCGCACTGGACAGGGCGTCTCCTCTCCCCTCGTCCCCTCCACCCCGGACACACTGGCTTCCTGCCGCTACTCAAATGAGCCAGGTGCATGTCCTCCTGCTGGCTTTTTTTAAAAAAATCTGCACCTGAGGAGGATATGTTATTTATTGACATTAGAGACAAAGGGGGGTGGGAGGGAGAGAGAGAAGAAACATTGATCAGATCGGCCACCTCCCACACACGCCCCAACAGGGGTCAAACCCAAAACCTAGATATGTGTGCCCTGACTAGGAATGGAACCACAGACCTTTGAAGTTCAGGACAATGATACTCCAACCAAGGGAGCCAATGGCCAGGGCCTCCTGCTGGCTTTTTGCAAGTACTGCTCTCACTCCTTGGAACACTGTTCCCCAGGTACCATCTTGTTCCTTCTTTTCCCTTCCTCAGGTCTTTGCTCAAATGCCACCTTTTCAGTGAGGCCTTCCATGTAAAATTGCAACCTCCACCCCAGCACTCCCTTCCCTGTTCTGCCATATTTTCCCCCATAGCGTCTACTCCCATCTGACATACTACCTATTTCCTGTATTTGTCCATCTCCCTCCCAGGGGTGTGCTAGAGGGGAGGGAGTTTGCCTTTTCTAGGTCTGTCTCTGCAGTGCCTAGAACAGAGCCTGACATGGACTGAGTGCAACCAATATCTTAGAAGGAGCAATGCAGACACCAAGGGAGATTTTGTCAGAGACCAGCTGGGACTTCTCAAGCCAGCTCAGAGGTGACACCAGCCAGTCTAGGAGAAACCAGTAAGGACCTGTCAACATGCGACATGGAGACAGCTGCACCAAGACACAATCCATGCCTCCCCCACATCTGCACAAAACCGCACTGCGGGTACCTGCAGGTGCTGGTCCATTCTGCCAGACCTCATGGGCCAGCTCCTTGGGAGGCCCTCTGAAGTCTGGGTGGGCGACCCCGCTGGCTGGAACATAAGGAAGGCATCTCAGATGTTGAGTGAGAACGAGGTGGATGTCGGCTGTGGAACAAACTGTCATTCTCCAGGAACGCTGAAGAGGGGATGTCAAATGCATGGTAAAGGATGAAGCCCCGACAGGGCCTGGTCTGGGCAGGTGCCAGGAGAATTGGCCACACATGCCAGGGACCCGGCTCTTGTCCAGGCTCACATAACAGCACTGTTCCTCTCCCTGGTCCATAGCTTCCTCCTCACCCACCTGAGCCATGATGACGGGCTTCACATCCAAGCTGACGGAAGCCCTCTGCCCTGTGGTCATTCCATACAAAGAACAGATGCCTGGTCAAGGGCGGAGGGGTGGTAGGCAGCTTCTCCCAGCGCATTGCTCATACTGCCCACTACAAACCAGATCCCTTTCCCAAGCTGAAGGCAGTAGAGCGGGAACAAAACCACGAGTGTTAAAAGCACAGCGGTGTCAGACAACTTGGTTTTGAATTCCAGCTCTGCCACCAAGTAGATGGATAATCTCGGGCCATCTCTTTACCTCTCTGACCCTTAGTTTCCTTATCTGTAAAATGGGCTAACAACCGTGTCAGCTTTGTTGGGTAGTTGTGAGAATTAAGCAGAATTCCTACATGCAAGCCCAGTTCCTGGCAGGTGGTAAGTGTTCCATACATGTTAGATTTTGTTGCTGCTGTTGTTATAAAATAAAGGAAGAGAGGGAGGAAGTCAACCCCTAGCTACCTGCTCCCAACGGCTGAAGACCTCCAAGGTTATGAGTCCCGAGGCAGGTGAAATTGCTGGTAATTAAGGTACTAGAAAGGCAGCCTTTCTCCTTTGGGCTTCAGAACCGTGCAGGCTCAAGAAAAACCTGCCTGAAAGGAAACTTCTCAGTGACCATGGGAATTATTCCAAAGAGGGGCTGTCGGGGCTAAAAGTGTGACTCTGGAGGGGGAGGAGAAGAGACCCCAAAGCCACCAAATCCCAGAGTTTATAATTAGTAGCCCAGCATCCTCTGTGCCTGCACGAGGGCCTGCCTGGCTCAGGGGGAAGGGCACACATAGTCATACAAAAACAACCCCCCAGTGGGTTTTTGAAGTGCTGAGCCTCTTTGTTTGTCTGAATTTTAATGAGGGGCCAGGCAGGATGAGAGTAGCACTCACTCCCTGGCCAGGAGTGGGCTTCCTTAGCTGCCAGCCCTCACGGGCCTGATCCAAAGCGGCATCTAGGAGGGGCGGGCCCTCAGATGGGGAGGAAGAGAGAAAAACAAAAACTAAAGATGCCTGTTTAGAAAAAGGCTCGGGCTCTGCTCCAGATCTCAGCGCATGTTGGAAACAGGTGGGGAGCCATAGAGACAAGCAGCTGCGTGTCTGAAAGGGCAGAGGGAGGCCGGGCTCCCTAAGAGAGCGTTTCTGTGGAAGGCTCAGGGCTGCCACGCTGGCCCCTGCTTCCGAAAACCAGGAACGAGGCTCTGGGAACCTATGGCAGAAGGAAACACGCTTTGGGAGCCCCAGGCACAGGTTGTGGGAAGATGGTGAAAGAGGAGTGCTATCAGAAAAGCCCCCAAACCCCGATGTGAGGAAGGGGTCACCTTTTCACACCCACTTCCTGCTGTGTCTTCAGCGAAGCCACCTAAAAGCACGAAGGAGACAGTGCAACTTCACTGATTCAAGGGAAAGTCTGCAGTAAGAAAGGCTTCCCGCCAGGCCACCCGGCAGACAGCCGCTTGCAACCCCCATACCCGGGGCCCAGGTGCTTACAGGTAGTTGCTCCAGGGAACTGCTGTGGCCTCTGTGACTGAGCAATTTCTTCGCTCCCTGATCTAGCTTTCCCTCATGCTCTTCCACAGTGGGCAGAGCTCCCATAAGATTGTTTAAAAGCTGCTTCCTTCATCTCCATGAGTCTTTCCAAGAGGGCGCTGCAAAGAAATGGGAGAGATAGCCACAGAAAAAACAATTTAGCCCTGGACGGTTGCTCAGTGGTTAGAGCATCGGCCTGCGGACCGAAGGGTCGTGGGTTCAATTCCCTGCCAAGGGTACATACCTCGGTTTCAGGTTCCTCGGCCCCTATGGGGGCGTGTAAGGGAGGCAACCAATTGATGTGTGTCTCTCTCATGTTGATGCTTCTCTCTTTCTCTCTCTCCCCATTTCCCTCCCTTCTACTCTCCCTAGAAATCAATGGAAAAAATATCCTCTGGTGAGGATTAAAAAAAAAATTTTTTTAAAGAAAAAAGCAATTTATTACAACTGAAAATATCAATGCAGTCTCCTGAAAGTATTTTTATTACAAAATATTCCATATGAAAATTCTAAGCTCCTTGCAAGCTTTTTTTAGTTTCAGGCTTATTACATTTTTTAAAAAGTCCAAAGCAGAGGTTTTTCTGTGCAGAGAGTGGTCTGTTGTCCCCAAGGGCTCAGGTGTGTGCAGACTGTCCCACGGGTCCTCCTTCGCTGCCTGCAGCAGGTCTCACTCGGTGAGAAGCTCTGAGGACACCTCGGTGTACAGACGGTCCCAGTCCCAGCCGACGTCGTCCTGCCGAGAGAGGTACTGCTAACTTTCTTGGGACAAAGGAAAGCCTTTCCCTGCAACCGTAGCCCACCGCCCAAGCCCAGAAGCCAGGGAGGCCGGGGTCAGCCTGGGGAGCCAGCTGGTTAGAGGAGCCAGCGGCTGAGGGAGCAGGAAGCTGCTACTGCTACGTACTTCCCGAACTTCCTGCTCTGGCGCAAGCACTTTGGTGAGGAGCTTCAAGTCGATCGTTCCATCCTGTAAATGCAAATAGATATAGATATAGATATAGATATAGATATAGATATAGATATAGATAGATATAGATATAGATATAGATATAGATATAGATATAGATATAGATATAGATATAGATATAGATATAAAGATATAGATATAGACATAGACATAGACATATAGACATAGATATAGACATAGACATAGACATAGACATAGACATAGACATAGACATAGACATAGACATATAGATGTAGATGTAGATGTAGATGTAGATGTAGATGTAGATGTAGATGTAGATGTAGATGTAGATGTAGATGTAGACGTAGACATAGACATAGACATAGACATAGACATAGACATAGACATAGATGTGCATTTCGAGGAGCCTTCAGACAATTAACTCTTGTAAAGTGAGGAGGATCAGGCTGTGTGGGGTAGACTTCCCAAACCCAGAGCTGCAGGAATGCTTTCTGAAAGAGTAAGAATGTGAGTGGACCACACAGCCACTGAGGGAACGCCACGAAACCCCCAGGCTGGGCATTCTCTGGGGGAAGGTCAACATCAGGAGGGCAAGGCGTGGCAGCAGCCTTTCTCGTATCTATTGACCCCAAGTGGGCAGCCATGGAAGCAGGTGGGAGCTGTGCTGGAAAACACTGGAATATACAGCCCGGAGATGCTGCAATACCCAAGGATGGTGCCTCCAGCAAAAGGTCTGTTGCCAGGCAACCTCAGAGGTGCGTGGAGGAGATGAGAAATCCCTGGGGATGTTGCCTGGAGTCCACCCCTCTATGCAGGAGCCGCTCTACTCACCAGGGTCTGAAAGGCTGCGCACTTCATGAGGTCATTGTCCAGGTCACGGTAGGTCATCACCCGGTTTACTTGGACACTGCAGGAGAGAGAATGTGAGGAAACCACAGGCAGGACCAGTTCCAGGAGTGCTGCTGGGCCACCGTCCCAGAGCCTCCTAGGCAGCTAGGGAAGACCAATCTGGGAAGAAAGTGTCTAATAAAATGGGAACCCTGGGAGGGAGCCCCCCACCAGCATCTGGGTCTGCACTGGGGGGCAGCACCACTGTGGATGGCACTTGGAGTGTATTAGCTCGCATGTTCCCTGCCTCCCTCCAGCTTCAGACCTAATTTAACATACCTGGGCGGGGCTGCCACCTGCAAAACGAAGTCTTCTTCCTGTACTTCTTCCAGATCCGGAATAACAGGAATATCTGCAATGAGAGGAGGCGGCAAAACGGTCAGCAGCATGAAGAGGGGTCTTGCCTGCTTCCTCATGTATTACTTATTCCTTCAACAGGCCAGCATGAGGCTATCAGCTGGGGGTAGAGTGGACAGACAGACACAGCCTCTGGCCGCCAGGGGCTCCCGGTCCAGGGCTGTGGGACTGAACTACAGGTGCACATTAGAATCAAAGGTAGAATGTCAACAAGTCCCAAATCCTGGGCTTTACCCCAGAACCAGCTGGATTAGAACCTCCCGGGTAGGACTCAGGCATCTGTATTTTCCCTAAGATTTCTTCGACGATCCTGATGTTCACTCCAGGTTAGGAGTCACTGGTTTGGGTCTCCAAGGAGAAATGTAAAGAAATGAGAAGAGCGTCCCAGGCAGCATTAGAGGAGAAGAGGGAAGGGGAATCAATGAATAAGCCCGGCAATGGTTGGAGACAGAGGAACTGAGAAAGCGCAGTGCCATGAGGTGAAGGTCACTATGGCCTCCCCGTGACCGAGGTGCACATGTGCATTAGCTCATTGTAGTCTTTGCAATCATCACAGTCTCCATGGCCCTGAGCCTGCATCTGAAGGTCACTTTACACGTAATGATACAGCCTGGCTCCCAGCCGTGTATCCGAGATCAGGCCTGCATTTGCCAGGTCTACTGCAAAACAGTGCTGCTCCTAAAGATGACGCTTCTAAGGTTGACGCTGCTCTTGCTGTCGCACAGAGACTTTTCTTGCCTGGACTCTCCACATGAGACAGACATACAGACATAGAAGGAGCCCCAAGGCCACTTCTTTCACCAATTTAACGATGTCATGCAAATGGGGAAACAGGCAGCACATCACTTAACTGTGGCAACTGACTTAAGGTACAAAAATAGCCCACGTCCTCCTGGGGACAACCTAACACCCGACAGAAGAATTTCCTTCTCCAGTGAGTATTACTGACCAGTAGAGGGTTTTCTTTGTTTTAACCAGACTGCAGACAGGGGCAGAGTGAAAAAAGGCCACGTGGGCTGAGACAGTCCCAGAATTCCCAAACCAACACAACTATCAAAAGGAGGAAAACATCCCAGAGAGGAAAGTAAAAAACCCTCATTTCTGCTTCCATGGCTGAGTTCAATATTATTTTTAGCCAAAACCGGTTTGGCTCAGTGGATAGAGCGTCGGCCTGCGGACTGAAAGGTCCCAGGTTCGATTCCGGTCAAGGGCATGTACCTGGGTTGCAGGCACATCCCCAGTGGGAGGTGTGCAGAAGGCAGCTGATCGATGTTTCTCTTTCATCGATGTTTCTGACTCTCTATCTCTCTTCCTTCCTCTCTGTAAAAAATCAGTAAAATATATTTTAAAAAAATATTATTTTTAAAGGAGATGCAGAATCATTTCAAGAAAATGAAGACCCTCGCCTCTGTCAGGCTGTTCAGTACTTAAACTGAGGCTGCTGTAGTCAAGTGAAGCTCAAGTATTTGTGTGGCAGTTCCAAGCCTGGAGTCTTTATTGCTGCTTCAGACTGTGACGTTCCGGATGCTGTACCTGGAAAAAGAGAAAGTATGCAAGGGAGACACAGAAAATAAGACACACAGAGAAAGAGACAGGCGAAGAAAGAGAGTAATTAAAAGAATGAAAGAGGTAAAATAAAAAGAAATGGCTGATAGGGAAAATAAAGACATATCACCACCCCCAAAACGATGAGCCACATTCGGCAAGTCCTCTGTCTAGAAAGAAGCTACTGAGAGCTTGGACTGCATCTCCCTATCCTGCTGAAGAATTAGAGATGGAATTCTCTAGGATTCTGTCTTACGCTAACGGAAATTTAGCTTTCTTCCTCACTCTCGCTCCGCGTGACTAACACTCCATGGTGAGGGCTGCCGCTGACAGTGCCGTTGGAGCCCAGGGCGGGTGGGGCCCCCAGGCTGGTGCGACCGCGCAGACCCAGCAGCGGGGTAGGGGAGGCTGGCTGTGCCATGCGCCATCAGCAGCGTGACAGTTAGTGATCCAGTTAGCTGCTCCTGGCTCTCCTCGGACGTGGAGTCCAGCCTGAGATGAATATTCAGAAGTTGGTAAGAAAGTGCCCCTGCTGAGTGTGGGGCTCAGGACGGGTCTTCCCAAAGTCCCCTTTCCCTCCACACACTAGCATTTGGGCCCTGTCAACTCCGACCAGCTTCTCCCAGCTCTGAGGACTTGCACTGCGGCCCAGTGTCCACTCTGACTCCCCACAGGCCTCTCGCTTCATCCCCACCCCCTCCTCCAAATGTGCACCAGGGAGTGTGGGGCTGGCCCATCTGTGACAGATCAGAGGTCAGTCCGGGCCTTGGCAAAGGCGCCTCTCAGAGTGGCACTGGTGGGGCTGGCCACACAGTGGGATTTCTCTCTAATTGGAAGCCTGGTGCCCAACAGAACCCGGTGCACCGCCTGAGTGGGACAGAGCCAGCGATGACAGCCAGGCCAAGGCAAGCTGGAACATTCCGGTGCAGTGACAGCTTGAGCCATCGCAGCAGAGTCAGGCCATCCAACTCCCAGCCCCAGTGGAACAGGTGGCCGTGGAGCAGGTTTTGGGCAAACTTCAAAGAACTTCACAATTTTACAGTTTCTGATTTATAATCACAGACAAGTACTTGCTCATGTGTACATAATAGGTTTGGGGAATTTTTGTTCTTTCTCTCCTTCCGTGGCCCCCTGCCCCTGCCCTAATCCCACACACATACCATGAACAAATCTAGAAAATGGACTTAAGAAATCCACCTCTTCACAAAATTACCTACCCGAAATGGCCCTGCCTGCACTCAGCACAGCTACTTGCCTGCAAACCTGGACTCGTGACCCAGTCTCATTCAGGTTGTCAAGTTTAACTTTCAAACGCAGAGGATTTTAATAGAGACAAGAGGAATACAAGAGTCTGCTCTAGTACTGTTGAAAGCTATCACTATTTTAAAAAACCTAATAACTGTGTAAACTTTATTCTCATTTTCTTCCACGATGCTGAAGAACATGAACAGAAACAATGAGTTAAGTATATGGGTAGGACTCCTGTCCAGCAGTTACGAGTGCAGGCTCTGGAGGCATGATGGCTGGCTTCGACTCGCCCATGTACTAGCTGTGTGACTTTATCCTCTCTGTGCCTCAGTTTCCTCATCTATGAAACTGGTAGAATTGTGCCCACTGCATTCAGTTGTATTAAATGCAACAATCTTTATAAAATGCTAAGTGCCATGCTATTTGGATTCATTTAACAGATATAATATTGAGCATGGAGAGAAAACTATAGGTCTCTACCACCGTTTTCTCATTTACTCCTGCCCATTTTCCAGATGATAGCACTGAGGCTGAGGAACATTAGCAGTGTGCACTAGGTGAAACCATTAATAACAGAACCAGGCTTCCCACTCCTGTCTGACTGCACCCGAGCTTGTCCACACCTCACCTGCGCTTTCTTTGCAAAGGCACAGAGACGCCTTCTATAGGTGAGATACTGCCTGCTGACCAACAGCTTTCACTTTGCCTGAGACTCAATGTCCTCTGTTCTTGGGTATTTCCTTTGATTGGTTACCTCCTGCATGCCCCCAATGGGGATCAAGCCCACAACCCAGGCATGTGCCCTTGAGCCTGCACTCGTAACTGACCGGAATCGAACTCGGGACCCTTTAGTCCGCAAGGTGACGCTCTATCCCTTGAGCCCAACCGGCTAGGGCCTACCTGTCTTATTTTTAAAGGTAAAAATAATATCCTATGTGGTAATACATACAAATACTGCAGAAAAGTTTAAAATGAAAATTCCCTTTCCTTATATGAGCCCCAGTTGTCTCCCTAGAGGTAGTCGCTATTAACAAATTCTTGTATATACTGACTGAAAATAAGTTATGCCTACCACAGCACACACATCCTTTAAAACAATGTTTACAAATGGGATCACTTTCCATTCGTGTTATCTGTAACTTGCTTTTATCCTTCCTGATAATGTACCGATACATCTTATTCTTTTAAGTGGCCACCTAATGTTATTGACCAGATGCTCCTAATGTCTTTACTCCCGTCCAGGGAGGACCTAATTTAGAATTTTGGGGGTGGGGTGGGGTGGGAGGTAGGGAAGCTCCCTGAATTAGGGACAATGCAGCTGAACGCTGAAGGATAAGCAGGATTCAACCCGGCAGGGGATGGCATGTGCAAAGGCACTGAGGTGAGAAGCACCCTGTAACACTGAGGAAACTGAAGGCAGGCCGGTGTGGGTGGCATGTGGGGCCCGGGGCAGAGTGGCACGGAGTGAGGCAGGAGAGAGGTGCCTCGTGCCAGGTGAGGAAGATCTGTATCAACCAGCCAGGAAACACGGACTGGTGCCTGTTACACACAAGACCCCTCTGAGGCACATTAGGGGAAACCACGATGGACTAAGCCAGCGGTTCTCAACCTGTGGGTCGCAGCCCCTTTGGGGGTCGAACGACCCTTTCACAAGGGTTGCCTAAGACCATCGGAAAACACATATGTAATTACATACTGTTTTTGTGATTAATCACTATGCTTTAATTATGTTCAATTTGTAACAATGAAAATACATCCTGGATATCAGATATTTACATTATGATTCATAACAGTAGCAAAATTACAGTTATGAAGTAGCAACGAAAATAATTTTATGGTTGGGGGTCACCACAAGATGAGGAACTGTATTAAAGGGTCGCGGCATTAGGAAGGTTGAGAACCACTGGACTAAGCAAAGTTGCAAAGAGGGTCTATATGTAAAAAAATAATAAATGAACAGAATAAGGAAAATACACACCCCTTCTTTTATGAATCATCTCGGAATCCAACAAGCAGAATTCAGAGCTTGCTACTTTGTCTTTCCATCCTTCTTCATTCAAGGCCACAGGGTAGACCTCACTACCCTACAGTAGGTAAAGTAAGTGATACTGGCCCTCGGCCTGCCCCCTAAATAGTGAACTAGCTGAAGGCAAGGACCACATCCTGGTCACTTCTGCATTCCCAAGGACTGGCAAACTAAAGGAGAACAGAACAAAACTGAGTCCACAGATGCCCCTCATACCTGAAAGTCACACACACGGAAGAGCCGTGTCAATCTTCTCTATACTATCCCATTACAGTGTAAGTGGCCCTGAATACTCAAGTTGCCTAAGTGGGTTCGCTTCACAAGAATAACCAAGAGGGTTCCTTGCGTACTTCCTAGATTTGACAACATCCTAGCAAAGGCTTTGCCTCCCCTCAGAGCTGCTCCTGCTGGGAAGGGTCCGTGCGTATGCAGGAAGCAATGGATGAGTGGGGTCAAAGCTGCAGAGGAAGTCATTCAAACATGGTCCACATGGACCTCTATCCTGAGGCTGGGTCCCACGCTCTTCCCACTGCTCCCTGTGTGTTTCTTCCAGGATCACTAGTGTGTCCCACTGTATAATCCACTTTCTGGGGCTTGTTAATGCACAGCAAAAGCAATAAGAACTTATTTCAAAGAGAAAGATTGTTGCCAAATGGGAAACTCCTGACGATACCAGAACACTGGTCTGCCAACAGATCCACCAACACACCAACTACCAGCTTAAATGAGGGCTGCTTAGATAAAAAATAGAAATACATAAGGGAAACATATGGGAATACCAGTAGGATCAATTCCACCTGGTTTAAAAAATGCAAAAAGCTGCCCTAGCCCTGGAATATTCATTACGAATAGAAACATATACCCACGCACTAAAACACTAACCACCCAGTGGAGTCGCAGTGTCAGCCCCTGTGGCCGGACAGTAGAAGCCGCTGGCCTCTTCCTGTGAAGCTGACCCCAGCTCCCTGCGTGCATTTCGTGATCGTCTGCGTTCAATCCGGCTGTTGTCTGCCAGTCTGGGTATAATTAGAACAGAAAGTGATTTCAGAGACTCGACTCAGCCTGAATGAGTGCCCCTGAGCATTGCTCAGGCTCTTCACCTGGAACATGAATGTAAGTCCCACAGGACGGAGAGAGCACAGGAGGCACCCCAACCTGGCCCTGGGCCCCACAGGACGGAGAGAACACAGGACGCACCCCAACCTGGCCCTGGGTCCCACAGGACGGAGAGAACACAGGAGGCACCCCAACCTGGCCCTGGGTCCCACAGGACGGAGAGAACACAGGAGGCACCCCAACCTGGCCCTGGGCCCCACAGGACGGAGAGAACACAGGAGGCACCCAACCTGGCCTGGGTCCCACAGGACGGAGAGAACACAGGACGCACCCCAACCTGGCCCTGGGTCCCACAGGACGGAGAGAACACAGGAGGCACCCCAACCTGGCCCTGGGTCCCACAGGACGGAGAGAACACAGGACGCACCCCAACCTGGCCCTGGGTCCCACAGGACGGAGAGAACACAGGAGGCACCCCAACCTGGCCCTGGGTCCCACAGGACGGAGAGAACACAGGACGAACGCCAACCTGGCCCTGGGTCCCACAGGACAGAGAGAACACAGGACGCACCCCAACCTGGCCCTGGGCCCCACAGGACGGAGAGAACACAGGAGGCACCCCAACCTGGCCCTGGGTCCCACAGGACTGAGAGAACACAGGAGGCACCCCAATGTGGCCCTGGGTCCCACAGGACGGCGAGAACACAGGATGCACCCCATTGTGGCCCTGGGCCTCACAGGACGGAGAGAACACAGGACGAACGCCAACCTGGCCCTGGGCCCCACAGGACAGAGAGAGCACAGGAGGCACCCCAACCTGGCCCTGGCCCCACAGGACGGAGAGAACACAGGAGGCACCCCAACCTGGCCCTGGGTCCACAGGAAACCTTCCTCTCTGTGTCCCTTTAGGGTCTACTCTTTGCTGATTTTCTTGGTTGGAGCTTTCTTTTTTTAAACATGTCTTTATTCTTTTTTTTTTTTTTTTTAAGAGGGAGAGGGAGAAACATCAGTGGGCTGCCTCCTGCACGCCCCTTACTGAAGACTAAGTGAATCTGCAACAGGACATGTGCCCTGACTGGGAATCGAACCAGTGACCTCTTGGTGCATGGAGTGACACTCAATGAGGCTGGTTGGGGCTTTCTGAATGGAATTTCCTGGTCACTTGCAGGAGGGTTTCTAGAGCTACGTCAAGACTGTGCTGTCCTCCAGCACATTCTGACCCTGACACCTTAGTAAATAATACAGGGTTGGTCTAACTTGCCAGGCTCCTTGAGGTACTCACTGATGACATCTGTCCCTCACTTCAACCACGAACTGAGCTCCCAACGCCAAAGGCCCTGCCTGGTTACACACAATCTCTTCCCAGAGCTGCCTTCCCACTCAGTGCCCTGGCCACTGCCGAGCACCCACAGGCCGTGACGGGCCCACAGCCACCATCCACAGCCAAGCTCAACAACCAATCAACATGAAAGGGATCTGGACATGCTGCTTAAGGACACCCCAATACAAGCAACCCCCAATTTTGTGGCCAAAGTCAACAGACCTCAGCAGAGCTCAAAGGCAAAAGGAAACAACATCCAGTTTTAGGAGACGGCAACTTAAACCAGAAATCATTATAATTTTTCTCTGCAGCTGCAAAACTTTGTTTTACTGAACGCCGTTACCTTCTGCATCACGTATAGGGAATTTTAAACAGGCAAATGGAAGAAGGTCTGATTGAAGATGAAGTTAAGTGAAAGAAATTGGTCTCATTTAGCCCATGACAGGATTCATCTGTGTTTCCAAGTCCACTGAGGTGGCATCATGGGCGTTTCATATTCATGAGCTGCGGCGACACTGTGTCCCCTCATTTACAAAGAGCCGTGCTCAGCAAATCCTGTCCCTGTGGATCCTCCGTGCATTTCATGGTCTTGTCAGAGAGACATCAAACGCTCCAGTAACCAAATACCAGAAAATGGCTTTAATTAGTGGATCTCAATCGTATAAATAATTTTTTTTCTAAGTGAAAAAATGGAGAATTTTTTTAAAAGGGAGAAGAAAAGGGGAAAGCAGTAGGCAACAGGCTTCAAACACCCGAAGGAACAAGGGGAAGAGACGGTCTCAGAGGCGCTCCTGAGTGAGCCTGGGCCCGGTACCATCGGTCCCCTGCTCTCCCGGAGTCAGGGTTCGAAGGGCACAAACTCTGCAGGTTCCCGGCAGATCCGCTTTATGAAGACTCATCCCTTGTGATTTCGCCTGAGTCCAGCCGGCCCAGCCTGCACTCATTGCAGGCAGAGTGGGAGAAAGGCAAAGAGAAAGGAGGCTGGAAACTGATGTTGGCTAGAGAGCCACGCTGCCAAGGCCGAGAGACAGGACTGGCCGTGAGCAAAATGCGTGGCCTACAGTGCGGCCGAGTGTCTGGGGGCAGGTCCCGGAAGACGTATGTGATAGAGCAACAGAGAGAAAGAGAGGCACCATCCTGAGGTGCCAGGTTGGGTCTGCGCGTTTGATTTTCACCCGTGTCCTGTATGTTGAAATACCGCCATGCTCCTGCCAAGCCGAATCTCTCCTAATGCTGCCGGGGAAAGATCACAGACCTTAAGATCAAAACAGCTGATTGTTCCTCACAGCCCCCAAGTTGGGGGGGACTCTCCTGGTGGGCGATGGGTTGGAGTGGAAGGTTCAGACTGATTCCGGTTTCTGAGATAAGCACGGCCTCGGCACAGTGAGGTGTTGCTGGTTCATGAGCAGAAAAGGGGTTTTGCTAAGAGTGGCGCCTCAGCTCCTGGTCTATCATGGCCTGTGAAAGCCAGATTTCATAGTATCTTCCACAGAGGGAAGTGGTAACGTTTCTGAAGGAGCCACGAATGCAGCACCCCAGAATGAGGTTTTTCCCATCACCTGCAGTGCTGAGTGCTGAATAAGATTCTGTATCGCCCTGGCCGGTGTGGCTCAGTTGGTTGGACATCATCCCGTGCACCAAAAGTTGCCAGTTCAATTCCCAATCGGGGCACATACCCAGATTTCTGGCTTGATCTCTGGTAGGGGGTACATGATGCAGCCAATCCATTTTTCACTCTCACATCAATGTTCCTCTCTCTCCCTCCCTCTCCCTTGCCCTCTCTCCAAAAAAATCAATTAAAAAAAAAGAATCTGTATCAGCCATGCAAAGGTCATCAACCAGGATTGAGCCTTTCGAGCCATTCAAAGGTAGTGCTCGCAAGAGACGAGCACAGCTCAACAGGATTCTCTGTGGGAAAAGATCCCATTCGGCCCACGAGCCTGGCATTGGGAGGGCCTGCTGCGGTGACCTCCAGGGAACATTGCATCACCGGCTACGGACAGTTGAAGGAAACAAAAAACAATGAATAGGAATGCTCTTCACCACTCCAACAGCTCTCAGAGCTTCGTGGTGGTTCCAGCTTTGATCTGTTGAGTTATGTGAAGAACAAGGAGGGGTGAAGCACTTTAAAAATTTAGAGGAATAAAGTGGCTGGAAGGAATGGAAACTGAGGAACTCTCCCTTCTCTTTAATAGGACCCAAGATGAGTGACACGGCATTAAAGTGACAGAAAACACCTTCTCAGAGCCGCCAGAAGAAGTGTGTTAGAAACCAGGCATATCTGATTCTATTTCATCCTCTTTGTGTTACACTAAAAAAAAAGCAAGACAAACTGCACTGCTTTCATTCTAAATCCTTAGTTTTGTATTTTCCTTATATATATTTATTAAAAAAATGCTACTTTGATCAGTGCCACCCGTGCCACCCTCACACACAGAACTCTTCTGAGCGGTCCCCTCCGTGCAAGGCCACTGCTGGTGACAGCCAGCTGGTTTTGATCACAGCCATTCCGAATCGGATTTTCATAAGATAGATGAGGAGTCTTACTGCTGCTCTCTCTCTTATCAGATGAGAAACAGAGGGGGAGGGGGAGGACGGGTCCTGAGGGAGCCGCACAACAATCAAGGGCTTCGTGGTTCTTTCTCTGTCCCTCCACTGCTGCAATTTTCAAAGGCGTTCGCCTCGGGCACTTTTAAATGATGGTGTCTCAATTCTGTAATCATCTTTCAAGAACTTTCTCTTAAAGGGCCTTTTAGGTAAACCTAGTCTGTCAACCACACTTATGGACTCAGGAATCACATTCCCAGTATGTGTCCTATGTGTGTGTATATAGACAAATACACACACACACACACACACACACACTGAACATCTGTGAATTTTTAGAAAGTTGGTAGAACCTAAAGCTAGATCAAGTTCATTTCCTGCTAGGGTAAGAGGTCCCCTGTACCTCTCCCAGAGATTTCTGCTCTAGGTGGATTAGGTCCTTCTTTGGGAACTAATTTCCATGTGTGATAAGTCAGAAAGAAAAGACTTCTCCACCTGGGGGCTAAGTGATATGCTATGTCCAACTCAGATGCATAAACATGCCTATCCCTTCTCACCTCACCTAAGCCATATCTGGCTGTCAGTCTTCAAACCGACTAAAGCAACATGGCCATCTATTTGGGAGAACACAAAGCCACAACGCCACCAGTCATCCGAGGCCACAACTTGCTGTGATTTTGGTTGCAAAGACTATTTGGAGCAGCTCTACAACTCTACCTCTCTCTTCTCATTGCAGAAAACATTATGGCTCTTTATACAGACTCCAGCTTTTGAACAGACATCCTAGAACACCAAGCCTCATTTCTTTCTAGTCAAATACAAATCTAAGTGGTCTAAGATCTCCCTGGGCAGTGGTCCTCACCAATATGGGCCTGTCTGCATTCAGGCCTCTCACCTCCTTTCATCCCTCATACATGCACTCCCTTCACACAGTGTGGAGAAGTCCCGTGCCTCTCCCAGAAAGCCGAACGCTGCTTAAAGCAGTCACATCTGGGACAGTCACAAAAGTAAATGGGATTGGTTTTGTCCTAGCCTGATCCTGTCTTCTGTATTCAACCAAGCCAGCAGCCAAGGAGTCACAGAACAAATACC